CTGAAATTGGCTTGAAAATACTTGCGCGCAACAAATAACAGTTCCGAAACACAATAAGTAGAAAATACCTATCCTCCAAGACACCTTCCCAAACCACATTACCATCAGAGTGTACCAAAACTCCAATTCCCCGTCTTAGAGCTCAAAACACTATGTTGCTTCCCCAAAAATTAAAACAATAATCCACCAAGGTTTATTTACCTTTGCTAATGGTATGAAGGGACTTCTTAAAGCCAACATATTTCAACCCTTTTTTCTCACTTAACGTGCGTCCAGGCCGCCTATGCCACAAATTGGTGAAGCATTCATTTATGCAACTTGTATTCAGTTGTCCCGCACATATTATTGCGTGGCGTCTTGACTACAGCGAGGCAACATAATTTTCTCTCGCCACCACCAAAGATCCGTTTGGTGAGTTTCAATACCGTCCACCTTGTATGATGGTTGATAGCCCTTCCTTTGTCCAGTTAACACTCACATACGACAGGCTTTAAACTGAAGATCGGGAAATATGGTCTCCACATTTTTAAGCGTTAATGAAGCCACCCGGTAACCACTGTTTTATGTAGATATCACTGATTCCCACCACTTCGCGAGGGACCACTATTTATTTCCAATTTTAATTAAGTGCCAAAAATTTCCTCCCTTGCTTTTATAAGTGGGAAAAATCATTCCCTTTTGTGGAGCACAGTGTATGAAAGCCACATTAGTCTTTACTATCCACCTCGGTATCTTGCATCTCCAACATTGACAACAAATCTGCATCCACGAGTGACTAAAAGTCACCTCACCATCTTCTCCTGAGCTGAGCAGATGTATTTCTATTCATTTTCTCCTGTCTTCGGTCTACATTATCCTGTTTGAAGTAAACGAACAATTTCTTTTGAGATGACCTCTCACTTACCGCCAATGGTAACATTTTCTCATCTCTCTGGACTTGGATCTACTCCGGCTCCTTACATGGCCGTTGGGACCTCTACCTCTTTGCTTCCGGCCCCCTTATTCTTCTGTGACAAGGGCTTGTTTGTGAACGTTGTATTGCAAACATCTTTTCTTCCATAGTTCTTCATGATAGTCTATCATTACCCGAGTATACATCGTTTACCCACATCCATTTGGAGCTTGAGTTACCCTCAATCGATACCTACGAGAGATTCCCAACTATCTGGTTAGAGATTCCCGACAGTAGCCTGCTTGCATCTTATCCCAACTATCTGGTAGAGATCCCAACAGTAGGCATGCTTGCATCTCGTCTTCTAAGGACATACCGCTAACTGCTAACTCAGTTACGAGTCCTTCAATCGTTCAGGTGTTGTGTAATTGATTGTCCCTCTGACAGCTTCAAGTTCATGACTTTACGCATCATGAAGACTTTCCTTGAGCATTCGTGGCCTCGTACATATACTCTAATTTCTTCTAGAGAACTTGGGGATCTTTTTCATTTCTCACATAGTTGTACAGGCTAGCATCTATCCATTGGTGTATTGTACCCAATGTATGCTTTTTTAATTTCTCCCACTGCCTTTCTTTCATTTCTTCCAGCTTTGCACTGTCACCTTCAATTGGATCGTACAGATCTTTGCAATTGAGGTAGTCCTCCATTTTGGATCTCCACATTGAATAATTCGAATCCGTCAATTTGATCATTGCCCCGTCGTTAGCCATGTCGAATTCTGAAGCTGACAAAATTTTACTTTTCACGAAATTTACTATTCACGTGAATAGTAACTTTGTAGAAAATTGACAGAATTTACCAACCAAAGGATCTGATATCAGTTGTTGTGATTATAACTTATCCCGAGTAGCGCCCGTGGAAAAATGCTCCAATGATTACATATTGGATATTGACTATCGAATCCACTGCAAATAATAACCACGGTAAAAATTAAATAATTACCGTAAATGCCAGATGAAAAATAAGGACACCGAGATTTACATGATTCACCTATCAACTGTTATGGGCTACGTCCACGGGACAAAAACTCCGAATAATTCTTCCACTAAAAATAGTAGGTACAAAAGAGATTACAAAAATAGTGGTAAAGAAGATTACAAAAATAGTGCGTTTTACTCTCTAGTGGTTTCAAAAAAAACACCCCAAAAAATCAATCTCACCCCAAAAAATACAATCCTCACTATTTTCTCTCTTTCCCAATTTTAGGAACCCTTTCCTAAAATTTTTTACACTTAATTGTGTATTCCTATTCTATTTGTTTTTGTACGTTTAGGTTGAAGAAAACTTCTCCTATTTACAGGAGAAGTGGATGCGTTAATCAATGCGTTTGTGCAATTAACGCATCCATTTTCATTTTGTAGGTACAACCGTCTTTGAACTTTTAAACAAAACGTGTCCTTCCTTTTTTTTTTTTCTTTGACTACAAAAACAACACGTGATTGTTGTTTCCTTCTTTTTTTTTTTCTTTTCTTCAAACTTGGGTCTCACATGTTGGAGGGACCTCACAACAATTCTCCCCCTCCAGACTACATGGTGGAACTCTCCATTCCTGCCGCTTTGACACACAGTTCGAGATCCACGGAAAAAACCACCCGCTTATTCGTCATACTCAGGCTTTGAGATTAGCCTTATTGCCGCCTGTAAGCCAAAACTACCCCATTCCTTTTTGAATCTCACTTTCATTAATATTGTTCTTTGACTAACAAAAACAACACGTGATTAATATTTCCTTCTTTTTTTTTTTTTTTCTTTTCTTCAAACTTGTGTGGGTCTCACATGTTGGAGGGACCTCACAACAGACTGATCTTTCCTTTCATATTCCAGAACTATCGAAGCACTAGTGGGATCACGAAACCACCGCTTATCGTCATACTCAGCTGAAGATTGCCTTATTGCCGCCTGTAGCCAACTACCCCATCCTTTTTGAATCTCACTTTCATTAATATGAAATAACGTTTCACAAAACTGTTCATTATGTCCCAAACAACCATAGATGAAATAGAATGTAAGGAGCTTTTCGTATTTAAAATTCACTTTACAAATCGAACCATCCGAACTACGAACTTTCTTCCACCATTTCAAGGCTTACGCACATCTAGTGATACCCGAAGCTTCATGAATTGCCTCCAACTACCTACATCATTCTTAGGGTCATATTTCACAAACTCTCCTATGAAATTCCCCACCTGCCTTGCCACTCCTTCTGACATCAAACCTTGAGGCAGGTCGTGAAGTTGCACCCACATTTGAGTAAAGTAAAGAGGGATAGTGGAAGGTTCAACATCAAGAGGAATCTTCTGCAATATCAACAAGTTATTATTAAAAATCCAAGGACCTCCATTCCAGACCCTGTTAAAGTCTATGTGATGAAAAAATTGGAACACAAAAACTCGTGGATCAATCTCAGTCACGCATACTCCCCGACTAGGCCTCCAAATCCCTGCTAACGTACTTTTCATGGCACCATAATTGACCATCTTATCTGTGAGAAGCCTCCCGACTAAGCACAGGCTATAATCCTCCACTGGCTTTGCAACCACAGTTGGTTGAACATCCACAGAAGCATTTTCGTCATCAGCCAAAGATAGATTCGAAAGATTCAGTTCAGTACCAAATCCTAGAGCCACCATACAAAATTGGGACAAAACTTGCACAAAACAAGAGAGCTACACATGCATAACACAAGATAGTATTAATTTATGTACTTTATTGTATATGTAACTCACATCTTTCGAGCAATTTGACCTCAGAATTGACTTGGTCTTTTTAACTTCCTCCAAACTGAAAAAGAAAAATAAATGAAGTTTTTTAAAAAATAAAATAAAATTGAAATTGAGAATTCTTTATTTTTGAAATTAAGCCTTAAAAACAAAATCTTTAATTTATTTTATTTTAACTAATAACAAAATTATGATGTAAGGATTCAACAACCCCTAAACATTGTAAATTAGCATATGAATATCTTTTTAGTTTATATAAAAGGATTTAAATAGTAACATATGAATCCTTTTAATAAAAACTTTTAAGCCTAAACTCAATATACAAATTTTAACCAAAATATAAACATCTCATTAATTTATAAAAATCTTATTAATTTTAAGGTATGAAAAAGTATGGGTAAATTATTTTCATTAGTTTGACTCAATTTTAACCATGACCAATAGACATAATGATGCCAAAAATCAACTTTTAAAAGATTAAAATTAATACTCTGTTATCATTTTCAATAATATTTATAATTAATTATGTGATAAAGGCTCTATTCGGCAAGAGCGTTTGAGTAGTGTTTACTGTTTTGATCGAGTTAAAACATTGTTTTAATTAATTATTGTATTCGGTAATATCACATCTATCCTAACGTTTAGAGTTTGAGGCAATGTTTCATGAAACGTTATTTTCATCCATGTTTAGCATTTTATAAATTTTTTATTAAGCTTGTGCCTATTACTTTTCTTTGTCTTGTTCTCTATTAGCTTATCCTTTTTTATCTTTTTATATTAAACAAATAATCAAACACTTATCTTAAAACACTATATAAACAACTAACTACCAACAACTAATATCTAACAGTTGATAGTTACTGTAACATCTAACATCTATTATAATTGTTGAAATTGCCAACATGGCCAAAGCAAAAAAGAATCATTGCTTCTTGAAATATGTATTTAATGAATAAATTTCCTTTAAAAATTACGTTTTTTTTTCCAATTATCACCTATTTATCTCTCTAAAACCACTCAAGGTTATATTTATGGTTTTGGGTGCCATAATCTAGGGATCACAGTGACCCAATTAGATTAGAGCGATTAGGTAAGATCAAGGGTAAAAAGAAATATTTGTTATAATTTAGGTGATTTAATTATATTTTCTTTTTAAAAAAAAAAGGAAGTAAAACTAACCACAAAAATTAATATATTTAAGCCGTACTACCACACCTAGGTACTTTTTGTCAATTTTCCTTATCTCCTTCGTATCTAAGTGGCTATGGTTCTCCACTCACTAGATAACACACACTTCCTTCACCGTCCATTCTTCCATTCCTCAAATCTCCATCGTCCAATTATATCAAAACTCTCTTTCTCTACCATAGCCATTTTCAACGCCAAATTATTCTCACTAAGAATAAACAAGTCTGCTCTCTTTCTCTCCGCCTTCTCATAACCACCACAACCACCGGCAATGGCCGCTCTCCAGAACACGCCGATTTCACTTCAATCCAAAATCCCACCATCTGCACGACTCTCAAAAACCCTTTCCTCTCAAAAACCTCTGAGCCTCTCCTTCTCTTCCACTTTCCCCTCTTTCAACCTCTCTTCCACCACCGCCCACCGCGCACGTGGAGGCGGTGCCACCGGAGCAAAAATGTCAGCCACTGCGGCAGCAAGTTACGCGGCAGCTCTAGCAGACGTTGCGAAATCAAACAACACTCTAGACTCAACCGCCGCCGACATAGAAAAAATCGAGAAGCTCTTCTCCGATCCACAGGTGGTGGATTTCTTCAGCAATCCAACAATCAGCGTGGAGAAGAAACGAGAAGTGGTAGACGAAATCGCCAAGTCATTAGCGCTGCAGCCACACACGGCAAATTTCCTGAACATCCTGATTGACGCGAAACGCATCGATTTGGCAAAAGAAATTGTAAAGGAATTCGAACTGGTTTATAACAAAATAACCGATACGGAGCTTGCGACTGTGACTTCGGTTGTGAAACTGGAGTCGCAGCACTTGGCGCAGATAGCGAAGCAAGTGCAGAAACTGACAGGAGCTAAGAATGTGAGGATTAAGACTGTAATTGATCCAAGCTTGGTGGCTGGGTTTACCGTTAGATTTGGAAGCTCAGGGTCTAAGCTGATTGATCTGAGTGTGAAGAAACAGTTGGAGGAAATAGCTGCTCAGCTTGAATTGGGTGATATTCAACTTGTATGATTCTTTTTTTTGTGTAATGTGCTTTTTATTTTAAATATAATATAATGTCTCAATTTTATCAGAGATTGTATTTTGAGATGCTTCAATTTTTTGATGTGACTGTAATTTATTATATGATATTTTGATTGATAAAGGATATCAAAATTCAAACAAAAATGCAATTTTGGTGCTTTTTTCTGAAATGCATTTCCTCATCTGAAAACAAGCTTTCTATTTAGGTAGTAAATTAGTCGTGGGCTTTTCGTAGGTTGGTAAAGGTTCTCACGCAAGCGCTTATGCTTTTGATTTTTGAAATTCTGTTGATATCGTGTTCAATTTCATAAAATTTACAAAAGTTAAAGTAGAAATTTAGAAAAAGCGTGTAACTCTCTCATATTGCTCATTTGATTTTTTTTAGTGATATTTCTAGTAATGGAGACACCCTTTTAAACTCACGTTGTTTATATTAGTAGATACTAATCTACAGCAGTTCTATTAATTTCTTGTGTCATTTGAAAATTTTAATGAGTTTTAATATTGAATTAACTCTACCTTTACATTGTATAATAAATATATTATATTATTTTTATATTACATTATTTCAGTATATGTTCTAATAATTTTTATATTTGGAATCTTTATGCTCAAAACCTTGATTCAAGTACTCATTTATTTGGTACCTTTCAAGGAGCAGGAATTGCCATTCTAACATCCACAAACAAAAAGTTTATGTTTCATTTCACACCATCTTAGTTATTGCATTTGTTTTTCTTGTTGCTTGTCATATGTACAGAACTAACCTTGAGATCGGGCATGGTATAATCTTTTAGAAGCACGTATTCCTTCAGGAGGGCTCTTGGGACCGGACAAAAGGGAATTTTGTTTGGAACCCTTTTTTCTTTTTGAAACCTGGCATGGAACCCAATGTCTTCATTTATAGTCTAAGGCTTTGCTTGGCATTGAGCTCCCTTAGTAAACTTTCGTTTTTAGCCTCTCACCTTCTTTGGAGAAGTAAAACTCAAATGGATAAATGAATCAATGGAATTTTGATCTCAGGTTCTTGCTTGGTCAATTCCTGAAAGACCTCTATTAATGTAATGCCATAATATAGATCAACTTGTAGAAGCGATTCAAAGTGTCTTTCTAAAACTAGAAAGTGCATGATGATATCACAATAGAAATGTCATCGAAAATGGTTGAAACAATGGAAAGGCTAGAATAGTCCACCTATACTATAATAGGTCATATTTTTCTTCTGTTCCTAACAAGCTTGTCTTTGTGGCTCAAGTTTCAAGGAAAGACCTTTTTCTCGAATGTATTTCAACCAAACTCTTAAAGGTTGGTGGTCTTTCATAAGCTACGTTTTGGCGCTCCTCCTTAAATAAAACTTAATTAAAAAGAATTGATGTAGCACGAACGACTAAGAAAGAAATTTTCACGCATCTTAGGTGAATTAGAACATATTATCCAATTCAATCAATTTCCTTCTTAGAGTATATCTTTACCTGTCTCCTTACCATCAGCTCTTAGGAATGAAAACTAGTCTATTTTTAATTTTAAAATTATCAATGACCCGTCTCCCTAGATCGGACCAAACTAGAACTTGGGTAGATTTATGCACTAAACTCAGTGATAAGCTTAATAATCATTTCTTTATATAAACTCAAATCTCAATCGATTGGGCCTCAGGTGTATTGTGAAACAACTCATTTATAATATTCACATAAACATACTTTGGATTTTTTTGGACCTTTATTTTCATCACTACTTAGAATCATAAAATGGTTTTGCTTAAACACAAATAAATACATAATTTATTTAAGATTTATTCATAGAACTTTTTTTTTTTTTTCTGAAGAGTCATTAATAGAACTTTGTCTCAATATAATTGTAGAATTTTATAAATGATTTTATAATATTGTTACCACACAAAATATAAATTGTCACATTAGCATGGTCCAACCTTAAGCCCAAATCTGACCAGTTAAGTAATCCTAGCTTAGCATCCTGAGTTATCATGAACTCGCAGCTCCGCATCAAATAAGGCTACTCAGTAAGTTCTGATCCGCAATTGATATGGGCTATACAAGAAAGTCAAATCAAGCACTGACTGCTATTATAATTCTTAATCAGTAACTTGAAAGGGGTTTTCAAAATCTCTCTGTAAAGGACCTTGTGTCCTATCTTAAAGTTACATTCATTTAATCCGGTTATCTTATAAGCATTCACTAACTTTTCTCTAACTTGAGCATTGAAAGATTTGCAAGTGCCTCCCTTCACGACGCTTCATTTTGTCATTCTTGCTTCAGCCATCATCTTCATATACGATGCACATCTCTACCTATAAATTTCTAAAGCTCCAAGTATCAATTGGCGCTATCTATGGAAAATTCTTATTGACGAAGCTTTCTTTATAACAAACACCTTTTCCTAAAGAGGTTAATAATTTAAGGATGGTCAAAAGTAGAAGCATCTAGAACAACATACAAAAAACTCCAAAAAGAAAGAAAAACAACTTCCTTTTGCTAATGGAATGATAGAAGAAGAGTGTGACATCCCGACTTGGCAAAGCGATCCTAAGAGGGCAGGTAGAGCAAAGCTCTTGGCTAACTTCTAAGATGGCAGGCTAATTATGGGTAGAGAAATGCGGGACACATGAATGAATCAGATCATATATCTAAAAGGGGGAAACTAATCGTCAGAGGCGCCTCTTGGTGAAATGGCTGGGAGAGTTGGAAGAACTCCAGGGTTATGCGTGCTCGTTTAACCCTAATCCTAGGATGGGCCTCCTCGAAAGTTCCCCATTTCACCTGCAGGACAAAACCATACGGGTTTTAATAATCTAGTATCGACTGGAATTGGCTTGATCCAAAGCGTTCAACTTTTCTAGTGGTTAGAGTCGGGCATGACAATTGGCATCAGAGCCGCACTCCCTCCAATAAAAGTGTGGTTCGAGGACAAACCACGTGGAAGCTAGTGGGCTTGTGACATCTCGACCCGGTAAAGTGATCCTAAGAGGGCGGGTAGAGCAAAGCTCCTAGCTAGCTTCTAGGATGGCAGGCTAGCTGTGGATAAGGGAATACGGGACACAGGAATGAATCGGATCATCTATTGAAAAGTATGCCTGCTAATCATCAGAGGTGCCTTTTGAAATGGCTTGGAGAGTTGGAAGAACTCCAGGGTTAAGTGTGCTCGCTTAACGAAAATCCTAGGATGGGTGACCTCCTAGGAAGTTCTCCATTTCACCTGTAGGACAAAACCGTGTGGGTCTTGCCAATCTAGTGTGGGATGGAATTGGCTTGATCCAAAGTGGACAATTCCTCTAGTGGTTGGATTCGGGCGTGAAAATTGATATTAGAGTCGAACCCCCTCTAGTAGATGTATGGTTCGAGGACGAATCATGCGGAAGTTGGTGGGCTTGTGATATCCCAACCCGGTAAAGTGATCCTAAGAGGGGGGGTAGAGCAAAGCTCCTAGCTAGCTTCTAGGATGGCAGGCTAGCTATGGGTAGAGGAATGCAGGACATAGGAATGAATCGGATCATATATCGAAAAGGGGGAAATTTAATCATCAGAGGCACCTTTGGTGAAATGGCATGGAGAGTTGGAAGAACTCTAGGGTTAAGCGTGCTCGCTAACGTAAATCCTAGGATGTGTGCCTCTTGAGAAGTTTCCCATTTCACCTGCGGGACATTTTCCTATTTTTCACTTGTCGCGGCCCAACCCAACCCGTCGCAGGTCCTTGCCCACCTCCCAGTATGGGATGGAATGGTTATGCATTCTTAAGCGGACAATTCCTCTGGTGTGTTAGAAGTAGGGCATGACAATGTATCATAAAGTCGGGATCCCCTCCGGTGAGTATTGCGTTCGAGGACGAATCTTTGTGACATTCTTCAACCCCTGGCAGAAGAGTCCAATGAGGGTTGGGTTAGAGCATAATAAGCTTCTAGTTGGAAGAACTCTAGGGTTAAGCGTGCTCGCTAACGTAAATCCTAGGATGTGTGCCTCTTGAGAAGTTTCCCATTTCACCTGCGGGACAAAACCGTGCAGGTCTTGCCAATCCAGTATGGGATGGAATTGGTTTGATCTAAGCGGACAATTCCTCTGGTGGTTGGAGTAGGGCATGACAATTGGTATCAAAGTCGGATCCCCCTCCGGTAGATGTATGGTTCGAGGACGAACTTGTGACATCTCAACCCGGCAAAGAGATCCTAAGAGGGTGGGTAGAGCAAAGCTTCTGGCTAGCTTCTAAGATGGCAGGCTAGCTATGGGTAGAGGAATACGAGACACATGAATGACTCGGATCATATATCGAAAAGGGAGAAACTAATCATGAGAAGCACTTTTTGGTGAAATAGCTTGAAGAGTTGGAAGAATTTCAGGTTTAAGCGTACTCGCGTAACGAAAATCCTAGATGGGTGACCTCCTGGGAAGTTCTCCATTTCACCTGCGGAACAAAACCATGCGGGTCTTGCCAATCCAGTGTAGGATGGAATTGGTTTGATCTAAAACGAATAATTCCTCTAGTAGCTCATACAGACAGTTAAACGGGTTTAGATACTTAAATGAATAACTGTAATCGGGTTCGAGGTTAGTTCAGATAATAAAAGTGAATTTCTAAATTGATTGGTGACAATTCATTTACCTAGTTTATAATCAGGTTCGAGTTCGGATAGTATATTCTAAATGGGTATCCAGTATGCTACCATCCTTAAACACACCAACAACTACTCAACAACAGTCAAACAACTTAATTTCAATTATCAATTTTCAATTGTCATTTATCTTTCTTGCAAATTGACTTCCATCATACAAAGCACATTTACTTTTTAAACTCCTTGCATTTCCAACACTTTACTTTCCCCTCAGATTTATTTTACTAACATCTTACTTTTCTTGCAAATTTACTTTTCAGCATCTTTACTTTTCAATCTCCATTACTTTTTCAATAAATTTATTTTTTTGCAAATCCTTTATAATTTTTAATACACAAAACTCTTTCTAATTCAATTTCTTGAACTAGTAGGTTTGTGATTTACTGGTTTAGTCAATTCCTAGAATTGTTTGATCTTAAAAGTCAATAGCACACCATGTCAAGTTAAAGCAATCACTATATATATATATAAAAAATGCTTTTTAGCGACCGATCTTTTTTTTCTATTACTAAAATAGAAATAGCGACCAAAATGCGACCATCGAAATCTGTCATACAATATCTTGTTGCTAAGATGTTAGTGACTGACTTCTAAATTCATCGCTAATTAGCAACCAGGAAATTGGTTGCCAAATTTGACAAAGTGATTGCTGGATCACTTCCATAAAGGAACGAAAATTTTATTGCTATTCGGCACTAAAGGTGGATGTCCCATATTGGTCACTAAAGGAGTCACAAATCGATCGCAATGTCTCCAATTTGTTTTCAATGTATTATCATCCATCGCTAATTAGTCGATAAAGGAGTCGCAAATTGGTCGCTATGTCTATCTCCAATTTTGGTTTCAATGTATTATAATCCATTGCTAAATAATTTGTTTTCACTATTAAAAAAGGCAATATATAATACTGATTTAAGTCATCCACATAAACTAATGGCACCAATGAAAACAAATGCTAATTTGTCATTAAGATATACGTAACACTAATGTGCGAAGAAAATCGTACCAATTATACTGTAATATGTACAAAATAAACATGATAATAATAAAAAAATCCTAAAGGGTCAGATCTACAAGAATTATAGTAGGACTCTAAGAAGCAGGTAGAGTGGAAGAAGCCAGAGGATCCGAGTGATCTGTCAGTGTAGAAGGAGCTGGTGGTCCAGTAACCTGGTCTTGAGCATACATATCCATCAGCTGCTGCTACTGTAACGCTCCAAAATTTTGTATCTTAAAATGATATTATTTGATCGGGTCATGAATGGTATCATCCGAGAGGGAAATAATATTTTATTTGGACCCGAGAAGGATATTGAGCATAATTAATATTCGTGGAGTTAATTAGATTTTATGTGATTAGTCCTAATTAATTTAAGTTAAGATATAAATTTTTCATGATTAATTAAGTAATTAATTATTGGTGAATAGTGATTTACCAGTGTGTGAATAGCATGATTCTGAAAATCGGATTGGACTAGTTGGTTCAACTGGTTTAACCAATAAACGAACAATTGTCTGGTTCGATTTGGATAGTCAAACCCCCCCAGATTGAAAACTGCTGATAATCGATATGAATCGGATGAAAATCATAAATCGGTTTGAGTAATTGCTATGGTTCAACTCAAATAAGCAAAAATAATAATAAAAAAAAAAATCGGAGGAGAGAAAAGGATGGAGCGTCAGATTCATCTGTTATTTGAAGGTGGTCAAACAACCTTTGCCTAAAGCGGCTCGCCAAGATGCCTCACCTAATGCCGGTAGTGACACGCACCGACAGGTAGTTGGACTCCAATCAACAACCAAAGTTCTAACTTGTTTTTCGAATTTGATCTTTCTCTCTTCTAGGCTTTCCTCTTTCTTTAATTTTGATGAATTTGCATTAATGGAGATGAGTTATTAGTGGCTTATTTATTTCTTTTTTTCTAAAGTATTATTCCTTTCCTTAATTAAGTGGTTTCCATATTATAATATACACACTATTCTCTTAAGGTAAAAAAAAAAAATGAATATTTTATTTCTTTATTTATTCCATTATAACTATGTATATTTTATTATAGTATTATTGTTTTATTTTATTTATTTGTTTTTAATTAATAATAATAATAATAATAGTAGTAATAGTAACTCATTTCCTATAATATTCCTTGTTTGAATTCCATTGACACCATATATTGAATCTGCATATAACATTTGTTTTTTATTTGTATTGTTTTTTATTTTATTATTATATTTTCTAAAGTGAATTTAATTTTTTATTCTGCCTATTATTATAATTATTTAAAAATTTTTGTTGAATTGGACTTATATTTATATATGTTGAGCTAATATAAGTTAAAGGATAAATTATATATATTTTTTATCTTTTTAATTCCGTATTTGAAAATTATATATTTTAATTATATAAAAAATATATTTAAAGATATTATATATAAAAATCTGGTTGAACCATATTGAAATCGGTTGAACCCTTCGGTTCAGTGAACTCCTGCCTTCACTGGTTTAATGACCGATCCGATTTTCAAAATATTGATGAATAGTATCACCTAATCGAAAATTTGGTTTTTTTCCAATCCGAAAAAATTATTATTCATAACTAATATTTTTTATAATTATTTTAGAGCATGTATATATTATTTTGGTGGGTGCAAAATAAATTATAAATTTATTTGAAGAAATTAAGTAATTAATGAATAGGGATTTGGCGGCATTTTTAAAAATTAAAAAACATTGGAGAATTAGAATTATTGAATAAAAATAATAAGTTAAGTGGAGGAAATTATAATTTTGAGGAATTGTTGTAGGAGAAGATATGATCCATTGGATCAAATAGTGAAAATTAAATCTCAACCACCCATTAGACAACTTCATGAGGAAGTTGTATTTATTTACTAAAATGCCCCCAATTATTTTTGCTATAGCCCATTTCTTTTTTTCTTTCTTTTCCATTTTTATCCTTGTCTCCTCTCCTCTCTGTTCTTTCTCTCTTGTCCGAATACATCACTGCCATTTCCTCTCTTTTGCTTTTCATTTTCCTACAAAAGAACTCATGATTCATCTTCTTTAAATCAAATCTAAGCTTGAACTCTTAAAGATTAAAATTAAACGTGGGGATTTAAGTTGTGATTTTGAAGAAAACTTCAAGATTTCTTTTAACAAGTTCAAGTAAGCAGAGAGTTTATATTTGAGTTCGGATTTGGAATTAGTTGAGGGTTTTATTTTTTCCCATCTCATACATGGTTTCTGTGATTTTCTTTTGTTATGATTTTTGGATTTCTCTTGGATTAGAGAAGATGGACCCTCTAGGTTAGACTAAGGGAAAGCTAAGTGTAATTGGTGATTTTAAGCTTCCTAAAGCTTAATTAAGAGGTTAGTGCTCTTAATTTCTCATCTTTTCTTTCCATTTTTTCTATTTTACAATTTCAGGTTTTGTGAGGATTTTTTTGGGGATTTTATATTTATTGGTCTAATTAATATGAACTAAATGCTTAATTGTGTTCTTGGGTGATATTAGAAGATATGTATGTATGTTGGACGAATCATGCTAGTGTGGTAAGGCCTGGTTTCTCTTCATTTTAATTAATGATAATACTTCTTAAATGATGATAGTAAACATATGTCTTAATTGCTGAGGAAATATTTTGCATGAATTCAGTGATTTGCCAAATTTTCCTATGACTTTTGCTATGAGAAATTGAAGGTTTTTGCATGTAAATTTTGTAACTAGGTGTTTGGATAATATTTATGTGATATTAGAACTTAATTAAGTATTTTAGAATACTTAGAATACAAAAGCAAATTTTCTTTCTCCATGCCCTTAGTATGGCTGAACTTAGGAATATATGATGCTTAGGTTTTTTTTGCTTTTTAACTTGCTTTTCTTCTTTTAAATATGATATTAAGTATATATTTACATATTGGTGACTATGCTTTACTTAAATCCATGAGAATATGAGTTTTCCTATGACAAAAAAATTAGAAATTTGAGTATTTGAGGATATTGCATAAAGTAAGGATTTGTATGATTTATAGGATTTGTATGAATAACATGTTAGGAGCTTGGCTTGCCTAAAAAGAACTTTTCATGTGATTTTCCCATGTATGAAAAATTTAGCAAAAGTACCTACCTTGGAACTTTTCATGTTTCTAGTTAATGATTATCTCTTGTTAACGATGTTTGTCTTATATCTAGAATTTGGTAGCAATATTTCTTTGAAATCTTGAGATATGGAAATTTTCCTATGACTTGAAACATAGGAATTTTTTGAGAATTTCATGAGTCTTGGTATGTTTTATATGTGTCTATACTTCAAATATGATAAGTATTTTGAGTGAGTTAAATGAGAACAAGAAAATCTTATTATAAAAATTATATATGTGATATATATATTTTCCTATAACTTGAAAGAGTGGAAAATTTGAGAAAGTGTTTGAGTTATTATATGCTTGCAGTTTATTTATGCTCCTAGGTATAAAATTAAGGCTTAGGTTGATTTTAAGTGAAAATAAATTGATCTTATGAAAAACCACATTTTTGGTCACATAAATTATATAATTTTTTCTATGAGTTTACTTGAAGTACTTAGAAACAAGTGCTATGGTTAGGCATGGCCACCGGTTCGGTTCATGTGAATGTTAAAATATGAACCGGAACCGGCGATTCCGGTTCGTTTCGAACCGGATGAATAAAAAAAATTGTAAGCTTAAAATTTTTATAAAAAAATTTCTATCACTTGATTTGATTGTAGTTGATTTGATTTACGGTGAAGAGAAGTAAAATGGTACATAAGTTATAAAAAGTGGTGAAAAAAAATACACATTTTTTGACTTAATTTATATAAAAAATGGTAGTAGTTATTGATTTTACGGTGAAGAGAAGTAAAAATGTACATAAGTTTACATAAAAAGTTGCAGTGAAAAAGAGACAATACAACAATTTTTTGACATTATTATCTCATACAAAAAGGTACGAAAGGCATACAATTTTGGACTTTTATATAAAGAAATCGAGCTGTTCAGATGTATTAAAAAAAAGGTACACGGTTAATAGTTTAATGAAGTGACTCATTCGTACAGTGTTTTTATGATTATTTCTTTATATCGAGTATATAATAAATTATCTCTATTTTTTAATAATTTATTTATTGTCAGTCATCTACTGTAAAATTTTACCAACTTAAATCCAAAAACCTAAGCAGTTTTCTTTTTCTATATATTAAGGCGGCGAGAGTGAGTTTGAGAAGAGAGTATAAATGAGAAAACAGTTATAAATCTAGTAGACGATGTGATTGAGTTTTATTCACAGAGTCGATGTGATTTAGGATACGCGCTGAGACGTCTCTCTCCTGTATTTCTCCAATTCAATTAATCTCTCTCAAAGACTTTCCATAGCATTCTAAATTTTGTCTATTGCCTTTATTTTCCTTAAATATTGGATACTTATCTATATGTTTAGTTTTTTATATAGTTTCATATACAATTGCAGCATTGTCCTAGATGCGTGTGCCATGCCTATCGTCAAGTGTGTTCGCCATTGGATAGAGCAGTGGAACGGTTTTATTTGATTCTTAAATAATTTCATTCAGGTATCTGAAAAGTAGATATGAGTTTTGCGAAGCGCGTTCCATAATTATATTCCCATTTATATGATTTTTTGTCATTAGTTAAATATGAGACGAAAGCGGAGTGTAGAGAGTTAAGTGTGAATAGAGAGTAATTTCTATATAGTAGTTATATAGAAGATTTCTCTTTAAAAATGTCTTTATCAGTAGAAGAAGTATGTCACGTTGTACTTGAATTAGAGATTTAACCATTTTAAAAATTTTATTATTATGATTCTGAGTGAGACTGGCGGAGACAGTCGAGAAATTTTATTGATTTGTTGAAGAGAGAGTGATGTGATAAGGCGCGCTTTGAAACATGCAATCTGAACCGGGTAGAGTGTCCAAACCGTCCGTTCGCCGCGATACCAGCTGTTGGCAAAGCGGCAGTATCCGGCGGAAGCCGGGAGACTGGAGGTTCAAGTGGTCGGTTTCGTTCAATAAGATATTGATAGATAGCACTGCGCACGGCGGTTCGTGAAAGTTAATAAAATTTAAACATTTTAAAATTATTATTTATTCATGAATTCGGAATCAAAATTTTATTATTTTTTTAAAAATTTGTGTAATGCCGGAACAGAATCGGAACCGTAATTTGAACCGTCGGTTCGCGGGAACCGTGTTGAACCATACCGGAACCGGAACTGGAGGTTCAAGGGTCGGTTTCGGTTCAAAATTTTAAACATCTCGAACCGGCGGTTCAGTGAACCGACCATGCCTAACTATGGTTTTTCATATGAAAAATATCGAATTTGATTTTAAACCCAGTCTATAAATTACCTTGGTTTTGATAAAAGAAAAGTTATCCTTTTCCCATCTCCCCTTTTTGGCCAAATCTAGGGTGACCATGACCTTAGGTTCATTTTTCTTTTAATTAATGTTTTTCTCTTAAATAAATGATTTTGAGCATGTAATTAGAGTTTGATGAATTTATCTTTTCTAAATCTTAAAATATAAGCATTTTCCTATAACCTTGAGATTGAGATTTCGCCATGTTGAATGAGTTTATGTGAAGCAATTACATAGATGGTATAATAGAGGCTTGGAAATGATTATGGAATGATTAAATTCAGAAAAATCCACTTCTTGATTAATGGCACATGATGACTATACCTTGTAACTTATGCACATTATGCTTCTTTTACTCTTATATTACTTAATTGAAATGCAGAATAGAAGTTGAGAGGATCTTATATTGCTTAATTGTATATAATGATGAATTTTCCTATGACCTAAGTCATGGATATTTTTACGGAAACAAGTAAGTATATGCATGCCTTGATTATGATTATGCTTCCTTGAGTATAATGAATGGTTTAATGAGTTGAATGAGAAATGTGATTCTTTTGTGGTAAAAATCATATAATTGATTTGTAACTTCCTATGACAAGAAAAATTGAATTTTTGGAGGAAATGCTATGGTACATGCATGCTTAGTATATATTCATGCTTATATATATGTTTAATGTATTTGGTTGCATAAAATGAGGAATATATGACTTGAATGATGGAATTTGCATTTATGTCAAATTCATCCCATGATAAGGTTTTTAAGACAAATACGTGCCTTATGGGTTTAATGAGTACTTAATAAGACTCTAGCCAATTAAATAAGTACTCTTGCAATCAACAAGGAGAATATAGCAAAGAACATGCAATCACGGAAGTACTCGTCAATCCTTAAACTCCTAAGTACTCTTAAAGAGAGAAAGAAAGGAATTTAGAACAAGAAAACAGAAACTTACCTTCAAGTAATCTTGAAAATAAATTTGAAATTCTTGATGCAATTAATCCTGTAGAACTCATAAGCTCAATTACTAAGGAAAATGGTTGCTTTCATTCAAAGAAGAAAACTCATATCTCTTCTTGTTGTTGTGTGTCGTGTTTACAATGGAAGCACCTATTTATACTAGACAATGGAAAACTAGGAACTAGAATCAAGCTTAAAATCAAGCCTACAATCAAGGCTAAAATCAAGGCTAGAATCATGCCTTAAATCAAGGCTATAATCAAGCCTAGAATCATGCCTTAAATCAAGGTTAAGATTATGCTAACCAATATGGCCCATATGGGTTTAAATACAAAGTCTTAAGCTAACTAATTAAAATAAGCCCAACTTAAATATTATCTAATCTAGGGCTGACCCAACTTTGGAATATAAGCCCAACCAACTTTATTAAGTCCACTCTAAACAATTTAAACAAAATAGGATAAATGGGCCACGGGCCCTGCATGCCCCATACTTAAGCTTACAATGAAAGAGCATCCTTCTAAATTTGCTTAAATATAAAACATGTATAATGCATTAATGGGTAGCCTCTTTACATACCTCAAGTACCATAATAAACTTTGGTGCTTCTTCAAGTTCAATCTCACATCTTGCATAGCTATGATCTTGAAGCTCCAATGTAACTTGTTCTTGAACAAATGCATTCAAGAGTGCTTGTAGCCTAGTACCACGAGCTCGTGTGATTGCTCCCTTGATCCGAATCAGTACTAAGCTAAGAATCTTTTATGAAATTATGAATATGAAAGTAAAGTTTTTATGAGAAATTATCCAATTTTGAGAAAAGAAAACAAGTTTTGGGCTCTTGGTATAATTGGTGTGAATTTGATGTGTGATTGAGATTTATTCTGTTATGAGCATGCTCAACACAATGGTGCTACTCTGATTATCTGGATATAGCTATGATCATATGCTTAACACATGAGTGCCCTCTGTATGAGCTGACGCTCTCTACATGTTCTGATTAGCTTTTAAGCTCTCTGTTCTGTTTGACTATTTATAGCCCTTTGCTTCTGAAATATAATCTATTTCATTTTTTGCTAAGTGTATGTGAGCCCCATAAGTTAATAAGGAAAGACATTGACTTAATAAGATAATATTATATAATATATGTATTTGTAAGTTAGAATTTATATTTATGATACTTATGATTGGAATTACATAATTCATGTGTCACATGCTTCATAAGTGATATTATGTACTTTTAGCTTGTAAATATTGAATTATGTTATGAAGTGAGGACATAAGAATTAATTATGAGATTACTGGAAATTACATGTTTAATATGACTACTTGTCACATAAATGATCATGCACGATTGATAATTATTTGATTATATGATTTTAAGCTTGAATGATAATTATGTGAATGAATATATCGCAACATTGGAGGAATGTGATTTATGAGTACTACTGAGTTTTATACTCAGCACGTCAATATTTATCACACGCAGGTTGTAGACTCGGGAGTGTTGTTTGGAGTCCAGATCCAACTTTAGAGCCAAAGACTTCATATTGGTGGAAATAACTTATTCTGTTTTGGTTTATGTATTAAATATGACATGTAAATTTGAAATATCGGAGATTGTATCTAATTAGAGATTTATGTATTAACTTAAGTCTTAGGAAGATTATGTATTATGACTTAGAATCTTTTATGATGAATGTATATTATATTATGGATTTTAGTTTAAGTATATTGTATAGATATCACATAAGCTTTTGTTGATTATGAATTGATATTGGAGTATATTAATTGAAATTTGATTTATTAGAGTCGATGGATTTGTTAAGATGGTGATGGCGTGGTGGAAAGGGCTATGGTTTTGATAGAGAAACACGAGTACTACAGTAACTTACTACAGGAACTCAGAAGCATCCGTGCTACAGTATCTAAAAAAAAGATAGATGATTGTTTTTGGAAATAAACAAAACCCAATAGTTTTTGGAAACTAATAAAACCCAAATGTGATTAACACTTTCTTGTTATTCAAAAACTCCCTTTGAAAGTACACAAAATCCCTTTATATAGGGAAACAAGAGATAGCCAAAGAGCCCAATGCCCGCGTGCTGTATGCAGAATGTTACTATTATATATAGATTAGGTTTAAGTATATTGTATAGAATCACATAAGCTTTTGTTGATTATGAATTGATATTGAGTATATGAATTATATTTGATTTATTAGAGGCCGAGTGGATTGGTTAAGATGGTCGATTGCGTTGGTGGAAAGGGCTATGGTTTTTGATAGAGAAACACGAGTGAGCTACACCGTACTTACTTACAGCGAAGCTCAGAACATCCGTGCGTACGTATCTAAAAAAAAGATTACAGATGATTGAGTTCATTTGACCGATCTGAATCAACAAATATTCCAATAGTTTCTTGCGAATTCTATAGAAATGCCAAAGATGGATAGAATTAACACTTTTAGGTATTTGGGAAGCATCATGTTCATTCAAAAAAGGTTCCCTTTCACAAGTAGCAGCAACTCAAATCACCTTTATATAGTGGGAAAACAAGTATGCCGCGATAAGCAATTATATACTCCCTTGAATGTGTTGTTCAAAAGACACCAATTTTCAAAGGACACCTAAAACTCATGTTGATAAAAATTATAACAACATTCAAGACAAACTACCAACTAAGGTTGTGCAAACGAGACATGTTTGGCCCCCTCTACTATTCAAGAAGACTATCGCTTAACCTGAAGTTTTGAAAATAACTCATTCAAAGGCACTATATCTCCAGGGACCCAACTAAGTTGAAAACAACACAAAATGAGCTGGAATTCCACTATGTCAAATTGAAAGTAAAACCAAGTGCCTCTCCATTGATTGTTGTCTTTAACAAAGAGTGATGTGATTTTGATCACTGAACTCTCAAATGGCCTTAAAGGAGGCTTGTATGTCTTTCAGACTTTGAAACATTGTGCACTTTACCAAGCCCGATCTTCACTTGGATTGTCCTATTCAACTTCACTAACTGGAATCAAGCACCAAGGGCCCATGTCTTGTTAATAAGGGACAGCTCTGTATAAAGGCTAGTGACTTAGTATGGACACTCATTTCATTTCCCCTTCTTTTTGGAAATAGTTTCAAACATTATTTGGTTTACAAGAAGTTTTACATGCGTAGTTACATATCCTATGTTATTTAAGCTAAGTCACTTACATTTGATAGTGCTATTGGAAAATCTTAAGTGTAATTGCGGAGCAGCGCTATCTTACTGGAAATCTTGTAAGACGGAGGCAGCTCTACCTTGTAAGCATTCTGGTTTACCTTCTTGATGATCTTGTAAGGACCCTCGGCTTTGGGCATAAGTTTAATTTTTCTTTTAGAAGGGAATCGTTCCTTCCTTAAGTGAACCCACACTAGGTCACCTTCTTTAAATTCCACAACAGGTTTTAACTTGGCTTGCATCTTGTAGGCTTCGTTCTTCTTCTCAATATGTGCTTTTGCTCTAGCATGGAGTTTGACAATTTCAGTAGCTCTAGCCTCGGCCTTTAAGTTAGAGGGGATACTAGAGTGTGCGTTGCTCAAATCATCGCAAGAGACCTAATTGGGCATATAGCTATCATTAAACTAAGATTCAAAAGGAGTAAAATAGTTGTGTAGCATATGTACAGTCTGGCGAGACGGCTAAGAGCAAATTCAGGCATGAGCCAACAAAAACTTCTCCAATTCTTCTTGTTACTTTCCCCAGTTTAGGCAACTTCAGATTAAATGTATGTGGTCTCTAAGCTTTCGATTGACCGACTCTGTTGTGGCTAACCATCTGTTTGTTGAGGATAAAAGCCGAGGCTGAGACCCTTCAAGCTGGGTACCCGCCCCACAAATGCCTCCAAAAGCGTGCTGTGCACGAAAGAGCATTTAACATCCCTATCACTCACTATGCTCCTAGGAAATTTCCATGGGGTGTTTTACAACATTCAAAGTTACCAAGATGTACAAGGGCTTAATAAAAGAAATGAGCAAATCGTTCAGTGTTTTTTGACAAGGTAGCAATAAAAATGAGCCCATTTTGATGAATCTATCTACTTACCAACTGCTATAATGGGAGATCATTAGTGTTCGTCTTTCTCGGCTAACCAACAATGAAATCAATACTACATTCTTCCCACGGTGAGCTTGGAATCGGCAAAAGGGCACTGCTATGCGTCCAACGTCAGCTGCTGTAAGCGTCTCTGAGATTGCTCATAATAGTAGTTACCACCGTCAACAAGTCATTGCCGAGGCTGCAGTACCGTTACTGGGCTTCAATGGGCCATACGAGGGACTTGTGAATGGGCATACGGGGCTTATTGGACGTCTTGAAAGAAAATATTTGAAACCTCTTGTCGCACATCTTTAGGGCCATAGAAATGATCTTGCTTGCCAATTCATATGTTTTGTCTCTTCCAAAGTGACCGGCTTAGGCCTCCACCATGGACTTCCTTAAGATGTTGCTGTGCGCGGCGTGTGAAAGAGCTTTGAGGAAACCAACCAAACAGCATCAAGCCTGCGAAAACGTACAGACCATCATGATACAGTAAAGTCCCCTAATAAATGCACCCATCTCTTCCTAACCTCTTCTCCCAAATTTGACTGAGAACCCCCATCACTTCTCTTACAAGGGTCTTAATATTCTCCAAAATCCCTATTACTATATGATGACATGGCCCTCACTGGTCAGGGTACAAAGAATCCTCATATCTCTGACATGGCATCGGGCCACTCTAATTACTTGACCATCCCTTCATACTTCACTACCAAAATCAAAGGGATTGCAGTTATTCGAACACCAAGGATTGCATTGTTCTCTGCTCTTTGTAGAGCTGGAGCCTTCTGACTTTGTATGTATTTATGGCCTTGATGTCAGTAAATAGCATGAAAGAGTATCCACACACAATAATATGGGCAAGATCATAGAGGTGTCCTTTGTAGAGCACGAATCAAGGCATTAGAACCCCAAGAGAATCATATGCAGATTATTTTCTCCTACACTCATTCAATTTCTTCCAAAAATGCAAGTAGTTTGCCTTCTTGACTTCAAATCTAAGCCACCTATAATGCTGAATATTTTCCCTCTCAACCCACTACGCATCACACTCCAATTCTCAAAAAGTTAAGTTGAACATTAGAGCAGCTCTCCAAAATAAAGGAGCTTTTGTCTATGCTTCTTTAAGTTGTTTATAATCAAAGCTTAAGGGTTCGGACATCGATCGTGTCCACTTAAAACATACCCCCTTTATATTCATGCAGTCTGTTATAGACTTGTCTAGTAGTACTAAACCTTTAATTGAATCGTCCTATAAAAAAGAACATAAAACCCATGAAAACTCCCTTACTTGAAACAGATTGTTCTGGAAATAGGCCAACAACAATGGCCTTCCTTTCTAAATTCATACTAATGACCATCATTTAGATATCATAGCAATACCCCAAAAAAATTATATCCGTTTGCTATCACTAAAAGAAATGTGTAGCATTCCATCACTTTACTAACAAGGTGATAGGCATACTAACGGATCTCACTTGTTCCAAAACACATATAAAACCCATAGTCTCTTCAAATGCATATAATGCTCATCTAAACTAGTACTAAAAGATCAGAGTATCATCAAAAGTAGTATCACCACAAAATTTGCTACAAAAGGTTGAGTACCTCATTCATGCGCAAGTCCCCCATAGAAGTGGAATGAATTAGAGCTAGTCCATTAGCATGCACCAACCATAATTCTAGTGCTATGTCTCTCTATCTCTAAGCTGTGAGTCTTCACACTATCACCCTCTCAAGCATGAATTTGGATGAGAATCCGCGATGCGAAGGATCTGACATCTCGAGAGTAAGGAATTGCAGCTCCATGCAAGTTCGAGGTCAAGCATATCATCAACCTTGATAAGAACCTTACTTGATCGTTATCTTATTAACAGTCCGCGTTAAGTGCTGATGCGAGCCAATCTCCACTTGCACATTCTTTTAGGAACAACAAAGGCCTAGCAACCAACACAGGAGAAACACTCTCGTCTGCTGTTTATAAAGCCCTCTCTTTAACAATTTCATCAACTGCTTGTAATTTTCATCACTTCTCTTTAGGACGCATTCTGAGTACGCGAGTGCTTATGAGGATGAGCTTCTCGAACAAAAATCTACTCATATATCTTAGAGGGGCAATATTGCTCGATAGTAAAGTGTTTCGGAAAACTCTCTCAAACTCTCTAATAAGGAAATTGTACCTCTTTTTGAATCACATGATTCTGTTTGGTCTCATCCCTCCACATCAATTGAACATGCTAGGCAGCCGCTCTCTATCTACTATCTCTCTCTCATCATTGGACAACAATCCAAACCATATCTCAAACTTTCTTCTTTTCTTCTTTCCGCTTCTCGTGGTAGAACACGGTTGAGCAAGTATTGGGTGTTTCGCCACTCACTGCTGGAGAAAGTTAGAAGCAGTATGACCCCTTCCTTGTCGTGTTTGCACATCGGGTCGTTATCGATACAAACAAGGTCTCCCAGAAGCAAGTGACAATGCTGTCTTGCGGATTATCATTGGCAGCCTCACCTCCATCTCACGTATGCCCAATTGTAAAGGAACTAGACCACTTCTTAAGTGCTTAATTTCGGTGCATGCTCAGAATTCAGCCAAGCAACCTATAAGGGTGTCAATTGCCTCGGTTTTCCGTCCCAACTTCACAAACCATTCATTGGATACAAAACTCCCTCACATGGCAGCTCGACATATCAATAAAACTTCCACACAATTA